TCTTGAAACACCTTAAAAGTGTGGTTTTGAACTCTATATCCAGCAGTTTGCTTTCCTCCATTTCTTTCATTTGTGTCCTGTTTCTTTGTCTCCGCATTTTTTATGCTTTCTTGGTGCACCCCCTTGTGGTCTTTGTGCACAGTCTTGTTGTAGTTAAGCCTTGATTGTTGTAGGTAACACTCTATTTTTATTTCAGAGAGGAAGGAGCGGGGGGAGAGAGAGAGAGAGAGACATCAATAATGAGAATCATTGATTGGCTGCCTCTTGCAGGATCATCTTGCTGCCTCTCAGGTCCCAGCCAGTAGTAGTAGCTCAAGGAGCCTGAGCCCCATGCCTGGAGTCCAGCTCCTTCAGGTCCAGCACTGAGCAAAGTGTAGCTGTGCACCTTTTCGATGGGTGAGCTGAATAAACTGCCGGGAAGCCCAGGGGCTGGAGGACCCCGGCCTGTCATTGTCCTCCCATCCTGGCTGCTCTGGCTGGCATCAGAGAAAGGGAACAGCCCAGATTTGGCTCAATCCCATGAAATGTAAAGTCTAACTCAGTCTTTATCAATCATCTTCAATTTACATTTTCACCTATAAAAAGTGAAAACTCATCTCATGGGTCTGCCTTTATTCTAGAGAATGTGAAAATCCAATAGGTATTATAAAGTAGTGCATCTTGGGCTTTAAAGAGCACTAATTGCCTGAGACTTTTAAAATACAGAACCTGATTCAGAGGGTCTGGGGTAAGGCCTCAGTGTTGATCTGTGGACCCTTTTGGTGCAGCAGAATGTAGAACCGGGCTGTTAACATTATGTAGATGCTGCAAAAAAATCTTATTCATGACTCTTGTTAAAAAATGGCAAGAAAGACTATTCAAGAGGGACCATCCGTCTGTTCCATTTCCATACCCCTGATTCTATTCCATTCACCACTTTATTCTGTTCATCATTTTTTGATTCATTTTATTTTTATTTTTTTTTAAATATATTTTTTATTGATTAAGACATTACATATGTGTCCTTGTCCCCACGTGGTTCATTTTATTTTAAGAAGTAATGGAGGCTAGAAGTTTTGCATTGGC